TTGTATTTTGGTATGCAAAACCGTTAAAGGATATTTGAACAGGCGCGTTCGCTTTTGTTGGCTAGTCAAAGCAAAACAGCCACAGCTGCGAAATGTCTGAACTAACAATGGACTTGGCCGCTGGCCAAAAATACAAAATGCTTTAGACAGTGCGAGCAGAAAGCCAAACTTACAGTTGGCGGCGAAGCGCTGCAGTATATACTGTACTACAGTTACAAAACCAAGAACTAGTGCAGCAAGCCATTGCAGTTTGAACTGCAACATCTAACAACTGCCAATTGCGAACTCTACTTTACGGCGAGAGTAATGAAAATCCTCTTTCTTTTTTTTCGAGAGGAAAATTAAATGAAAACAGTTTGCAAAGTAATTTGCATAAAGTACTTTTACTGTAAGTACAACAATAATACACCGACAATCGATAACGGCATGTCGGAAAGTGTATGAGTGTGTGGGTACAGAGCAACGTCTAAATGAAGTGAAAATATTTTTAGCTGTAAAACATACGACTTACTAAACTGTTTGAAAATTTGCTAATATGGACAAACATTAACAAAGTAACTAATATGGGACTAGTAAAAAAGCAATTAGTACGGCACTAGTTATAAACTGACCAGTTAATGTTAAGTTGTAGTCAAATAATAAAAATAAATACTTGCCCAAATACAATTTGTTAATAAGTGATTTATGAGCTGAAGCAATCATTCGATGGCACACTGAAAATATTTTACGCGAATTATAATTGACACTCAGTAAACCCTTTTTGTTTATAAATAACTTCAAAATAACAAAAATACTTTTGTTAAAGTACGCAAAGTGATGGAAAGACAGTTAAAAATATTTTCAACTCATTTTCCAAAATCAGCATTAAAAACATAATTTCGAAAAATTGCGTTGGCAACCCTATTGAAATATAATAATTTAATAATAAACATTGCAGTCTTTCGATACATTCATACATTTTTTAACCTTTAAACAAACTTTTTATGTTTTCTAAAAGTTGCTAACCTTGTCTGATTACTATATTAAGGCAGTGTCACTGTATACGAAACTTTGTTAAACTTAATAACAGTAAAGTAAATATTTTTTTAAAAATTAATTTTTCATTTGTTACTACAAGGTTGGTTACCCTAAACAATATTTAGTTTAGCAAGAAAAAAAATTATTCGAATAAAATTTTGAGAACTTGTTATAAATTCGAAAACATATTTTAAAGAATTTTAAGCTATGGCTTACTACATTTTAATTTCACACCTTATGGCAACTCTGCGAGTACGTTTCACCAATTTTCTCACCGATATCGGAAAACTAAACAGAAACAAAAAAAAACTTGTTAAATAATTTCTCCAAAACTATTTTCAATTCCTTTTTTAAATTTTTAATAAAGTTTTTTCAAATTATTTAGGTCTTTTTTTCCAAAATTATTTCTAACTATATTTCAATTCTCTCGCGGAAAATTTCATTACTCTTCGATTTAAAATTAGTTTAACAAAAAAATTTTTTTTTATTAATAATTTTTTTTCTTCCTCAATTTTTATTCTAATATAATTTTAATTTTTTGTCATTATTTGTTAATAAAATTTTTTTAAATTATTTATTTGATTTTTTTAAATACATACATATATTGTGTTATTTATTTTATATTTCTTTGTTATAATTCTCTCGCGGAAAATTTCATTGCTCTTCGACTTTAATTTAAAAAAAAAAAAAAAAAAAAAATTAAAAAATGTGTACCGATTTTGTAATTCTTTTTCTTCAACAATTTTTAAAACTTCTAATCTAATATAATTTTTCTTTTTTGGCATCATTTGGCAACCCAGAAATTACGATAAAGCTTCAGTATCTACCACTGGCTCAATGGACCGCTCATAACAACTTATAATTTTAGTGTATGTAAAGCACCCAATTAAGTGAAAGTGCCGTCATAAAAAACTGCTGAATGTAGTTAAATTTGAACAAAAACATAGTTTCCAAACTAAAATTATTACGAAATTTTGCGACAATTTGCAACTCCTACAATAAACTGCAGCCAATTTACACTACACTAAAAGCCGACGTGGCGAATACGTAACCAACTGAAATAACAGGTCTCTCTGGTATGCTATTTCCAACCACACGCGGCGTGCTAACGCTCTGTACAAGTATTGCTGCTCTTCAAAATTTAGTAATCCCAGCTCACTTGTACTGCCATGTAACACATTACATAATTATAATAAAGTTTTTTTTTTTTTTTTTTGGTTTTTTTAATTCAGTTTGTTTCACATCTATGCCAACAGCTTATTAATGTGCAAATGACATATGTTAAAAGCATACCACGTGCGAATAAGTAGTACTAGAAGCAGGTGAGTAGTGTTCCGTCGATTGTCATGTGTCTGCTATGAAAATATGTGTGTGTAATTGTTTTAAGTATGAACACGTGCTCTCAATTATGTGTGAAAAACTGCTAAGAGGCGACATGTTTTGAGCTGAGTAGAGTAATAGGGGTTACAAAAAATCTATGCTGAGATGGAAAAACGGTAAATAAAAATTTTTATAAGTCCTATGTACCAGATTTATATAATTAGATATTAAACTACATGCAAATCGTTTGTGTTTACATTTTTGGGTGAAATTGCTAAATGGAAGTGAAATGTAATTTAATTTCAACCCTATAATTTGGAGGGCGTGGAAAGGTCTGTAAAGTAAGAGATATTTTTGTATATTTGGAATGAAACCTATGATTATATATATCTATCCATGTTTAATGGGTAGGTAAAGTGATTTTCTCCATTATTAGTCATTTTGTTTTAGCGAAATTTAAAATATATATATTCCCCAAATGCTTTTTAGCTCCAGCTTTCTTGTTGTTAATCTTAGATCGAATAAAAATCTGAGTTCGTTTAAGTTATCAATAGAAGTAATCGTCGCGAGTTCGATCATTAATGGCTTTAATTACCCCGATTCTACTATCTTTCAGTGTTATAAATTGCGGACGCTTAGTTAGGAGTTGAATGCATTATTATATTTTGAGGGACTTAAAACGGTACTCTCTTCCCGCCTCCCTTGTACTCACGTTCTCTGCCTATCTTACGTTTCCTACGTTCTATATCTCATACTTGCTCCTTCTGCTTAGCTTTCACTCTCTTCTTTGCTCATTATATATAATTTATATGAAAAAGTGAGCATAGTGGATTACTCACAAAATCAAAAGCGAGAGTTAGATTAGAATTGTCTGCTTTGACAGATTCTCTTAACAATAAAATAATTGTAATTTATATTGAACTTCTACTCTTTTAACGCATTTAATCCCAAAACTGCTTTCCAACCTTAAATGTTTTCCCCGAAAAAAAACATGCTCTTAACCCCAGCTGTTATATTGTGTGAAGTGTTACGGCATTTGGCTTCTCAACTGCATTTGCGGCACTTAATGGCGACTAAGCCGTTGACTAACTCACTTTCGTAGATTTCACACAGCCACACACACGCATAACGTATTTATTGCCAAAGCCACTTTGCACTAAATTCACCACTAATTGCAATGCCGGAATTATTCACGAGCCTGAGCTCGCATCCCGAAGCGTAGTAAATGTAGCGTTACAACAATGTGGCGGCCGGTGCGCCTCAAGGGTGTTGTAGTTAGAGCACTTGCTACACAAGTACCCAAACACAGTCCCACTTGAGTGTTTGTGCGTGTATGCGTGTTTTTGCACACAAATCGCAGTTTAGTGAACCGAAATGTGCAATTTTCGATGTAATTCGCCAAAAATAGTCTGATTTTTTCTCCACCACACGCGCCGCAAGCACAAGCGCTGCACTTTTCAAAGCATAGTGTTTCCGTTTTTTACTCTGCTTCGCTGTTTGTGGTGACGGAATACGGTTGCATTAACCAGAAAAATTTACTTTTCCGGTGATTGGGCGTTTCTAACGTGGCAAATAGGCTTTCAGCGCAACAACTGCTTTTACTTTATGTTTATTTTATGTCGTATTAAGCGCTGTAATGGTGTTGAGTAGTAAGGCTGCTTTTCGGAAGCACCGGCGCGTATGAGTAACTTTAAAATGAGCGATTTGTTTAATTGTTGTAAGTTGAAGTGGGAGGGAAGATTTGTTATAATTTGGCACTCATTAAATAATTTTATTAAAATTTTTATGCAGTTAGGATTATAGCTAACAGTTAGGTATAATAAAACAAGCAAAAAATGTTAACTTCGCCTGCACCGCAGCTAAAACAGCCCTTAATAAATAAAAATGCTTCATTGCAAGTACTTGCTTTTTATGGCACCTACATATATGCTATAGTAATGCGATTTGAATGAATTCTCCAGAGATCGCACCACTGCCTTAAACAATAACCCATGACAAACTTCGTGAAGATATCTTATCAAATGAAAAATTTTTCCATGCAAACACTTTGTTCCGATCACTGTAGCATCTAGCTACCTTAAAAACTGACCGATCAAAATACTTGTAAGGAAATGTTTGTATTTGGAATTTTCGAACTTTTACAGTAAATTTAAAATTTTTTCCGTAAAATTCAGTTATTTGTTATTGATATTCTTATACCAAATTTATTGCTATATAAAAAAGATTCTAATAATTTTTTTCATACAAGCATTGCTTTAAAAGTTATACTTAGTTAAAATCCTACATCAAATGACTTGAGCATTCATTCAAGTGCCTTACAAATTCTATGTTACTCATACGACATGGTGTACTATATGATTACAGTACACTTAATGCATGAAAAATAAGGGCTTATATGATATTTTTTTTAAGATAGAAAACTAAAAGTAAGTGGGCGTCTCGTGAAAAATAATCAATTTCGTAAATAACGGACACCCTAGTATACAAGAAAAGCGAATTATACTTGTATGGTAATAAAAGTGTTAACAAATTAAAATTTATTTTAAAAACGTTGCCAGCTGTTACAATTTTTGCTTATCAAAAAAAATGATAAAATACTTTATAAATTATAAGTACAATATATAGCTGATTTTTCAACATTTTTACGATTCCTTTACTTACAGGTAAACAAAACTTTCAAGAATCACGAAGACTGTGTATTGTTTTCGTCAAATGATGATCCGAGGTATACTATAATTTAATAAACTCCATATAGACTCATTTTTAAAATTCCATTGCTTTTAGTGCACTTACACAAAGCTTTTTGCTCAAGTCCTGTTCAACATTCAAGATTAAATAAATTTGCCAATACAAATTCCATCTACTTTGTGCATTTTCTAATCAGCTTTACTTGCTTACATGAAATTAAATGCCGTTAATGCGTATTTAAGTCATTTAATCGCACGTCATACAAAATTTTCTACCCTTGTAAAGACTTAACCCCCTCCTACCCCTCCTACCACTTTTATCATTAAATCTTAGATAAGCTCCAGCTGTAGCTTTTTGCGTTCACGAGCATATGTGTGTGGGCATGTGCGTTGCTCTTGTGACGAAATTGCACTAAAGAGCCTTCACCTTGCGCTTACAGGTTTGTTGTTGTTGTTGCATACCAACTTTAAAATGCAGCTTGCAGACGTTGTTGCCATACATGCGCTAAACTTTTTAATGCGTTGGAATTTCGCTTGAACCATGTCGTAATCGCTAACGGTGAGTGGTATAACAGTAAAAAGAAAAACTAATTTTGCTAAACTAGCATATGCTAGGCAAAGCATGTTAAAATACATGGGTGCTTGTAAACTAAAACACTCTACAAGTATTAGAGGGTATGTTCGTTTCAATATAGAAAGCCCGGAATACAAATTTCGGAGATTTTTCTTATTTATTTTCCTCCACGAAATGGTGTTGATTTATAAAAAAATAAGCTCTAAATTGTGTTATTATATTTTCACTATAACCGCAAGAATTTTTAATATTATTATTTTTCAATCAAACAGCATTCTAAAAGTTTTAGGGACGTCTTTAGAAAACCCTGAAATAGTTTCTAGTCAACTGGTCAAATACTAGCTACATCTTAAGCACTTTTCTGCCAATCAAATCAACTAGAGATTAACTAGTTACTTAAGGAACACTTCGATTTCTGCATCGGTGACAATGCAACTAGTACTTTTTGTACTTACATTATTACAATTAAGCTTGCTAAAAATTTAGTATACTAGTAAATTTCAAGTTGACAAAAAATCCACTAGTAACAGACTAGGTATATTCGGTCCAGTTCAAATTTCCTAAAAAGTCTGTTCGATTATCACGCATATTTGTATTCACCCCAGTGTATTTCTAAAAAGTATGAGCTTGTATGCCTTCATATGTGTACCATATATACATATGTCTGTACATACATATGTTCATATGTAAGCCTACATTTAAGCTCGTATGTAGAACATTTCTGCGTTTGTGCGTTTAATCGCTCTTTCGCATTGTTGAGCGCTTACAGCTATATGCCGCAATAACGTTTATATTACAAGTACTCTTAATTCCACATATTACTTGCAACATGGTGCACGTGGCACGCTTCAAATACTTGCGCATAGTTTCGCTTTTATTAGGTTAAGCGCATTGCTTCTTCCATATTCTTTATACTGATTATATCGCTGTTATAGACTTCTCTGCCGCCAACTGGTCTACTTCGACGTCTTTCTATTATTTTTTGTTTTTTTCTTTGTGTGTGTGTGTGCTGACAGGCGCTTATGTTAATGATACTTTGGGCCGTATTAGGCGGCTATTAATGCGTGTATGTATGTGTTGACATTGTAAACATACGCCCACAAACCCAAGTCCCTATTATATATATATATACATATATAAATATATACATATATATGTAATAATTATAATCATGTGTCTATATATGTCATATATATATACATATGTATATATTTTCAAATCTGCATTCTTATTTTTACCGTTTGCCATCATTCTCGTCGTTCTCATTCCTTTGCCTGCTTTAATAGTCGCTTTTATATAGCTTATATATATTTTTTTCCCTCCACTCTGCATCGCTTGGCGTTGTAAGCTTATCCACTTAACCCTCTTAGCTCAAAGTGGGTTGCTGAGGCGCGCAAATGTGGTTGAGTTGCGGCCAAAGTTCACTGAGAAAAAGTATGCGGCCACAAAAGAATGTCGGATGGAGTGCTCAGTTTGCTTATTTTCATTGGAAAGCGGCTTCCTTCTTGTGGCTTGTAAGCGATAATACTAAGCAAATTGCTTGAACAAACTTTGCCGCCTTACGGTAGTTTTTTGCATGTGTTTGTTCGCCCTTATTATAAGATGGCCAATTAAATGAAAATAAATTAGTAATATACCTTTTTATATGAGTTATATGAAAAATTCTTTGAATTGAGGGTTTAATTCCGTTAAATAACTAAGCAATAACAATTATTTCCGAGTTAATTTTAGACTTCGGGGAAACAATGTTAAATTTTTCGTACAATGACTACGGACCCTTTTGCATTCAAGTGCTAAATCATTTAACTAAAGTCACCCTGTAATACATTCGATCTATATATACGATACGCATTGGACCCAACGCGCTTTTCGCAGACAGTTGAAACGACTCATAAACGTCATCTGTCTTGACTTTTTCTCTAAAAATAACTGTCATAAGATTCTGAGGTTTTGAGACTCTCTCTGGCTTTAAAGACCTGTCAAGTTTTATTGAAATTCTCCCATTTTATTATTGAGCGAAAGCTTTACAGATCTTGTGTTTAAATGCCTTCTGAATTACTTTTTGTAAAACTGTATTGTCTTATTTATCATTGCCTTTCGTACATTGGGAGCTACAAAAAAGACAGATGTTAGGAGAAAGCAAAACTATTTATCACAGCGTTTTTACAATTCATAGCTACGTTGTGCAGCATACAGCATTTCGTTACTGAGCAGCTGAAATAGTAAATGCTGTAAATCGCCTAGGTACTAATGTCTCTCAAATTGTTCCAAGAGCGGAATTGTCGACATACTTAAAAGCAGAAAGGCACTGATAGTTTTGGGTTAGCTGAACATTTCTCTTACTCCGAGTCTCAAGATAACATCCTTATTGGTAATAACAACTTGCATATAGAAATATAAGTCAGAGAAGTTAACAAAAACATAATGAATAATCCAAAATAGGACGTGTCCTGTCTAAAAGCAATGCGAAAGAGAAAGACTATATTGCTCTCTCAGTACAATAAAAAGTTAACTTCGATGGTAATTCAAATAAAAAGCCTCGTCTAAATTGTATAACTTGAGAGTGTTAAGGTGTTAATACCAATATATATGCAGCACTAAAAAGTAAAAGCTGAAAGCTTTTAAGCCAATCGAAAGCTTACTTATTTTCACCCAAAGCTACCACAAACAAATCTTTCTGACGTTTAGAATTGCCGTATCAACTTTTGTTTGTGAGTCAAACCTGACGCACCAAAAAGAGGGAGAACGTACTTCGTAAATCCACCGGTTTCTCCAGAAAAATCGAAATTATCAATAAATTGAATATTCCTTTTAGCAATCTTTTTTACAAGCGGAACTCAAGTCATCTTGAATACAGCTGAAAAAGTTGTCACCAGGGCGTTCAAGCATTCTCAGTGTCTTGTCGAAATGTAGGTATCATAATTAGTCCACAAACATTTGTTTAATTACCGGTAATCACAATACACTGCAACATCAATCAGAGCACAAATGTTGCGGTAAATGATGGCAGCTGCGGAGCTGAGATTGATGCTAACATTACAACTGATTTGGCACACATACATGTATATATACAAAATATATGCACGCCGTTATTACTGCCGCTGTTTGTGCAGATGGCGCCTGTTATCATCGTCGTCATCAGCAACATCATCGCAATTTCCGTTGCTAATGTGCCGTTATACATGAAAGTACAGCATTCCATACATACATATATGGTATACTTCTAAAGACATATGTACACTCATACATACATACACTTATTCGTAAAACTTTCAGCTGATCTAATAACCGTTAGTGCAAAATGTGTGTGTGTGTGTGTATAAATTACTGTGTGTGTTTGTTTGTATGGAAATTACTTGCTGCGAGCGCCAGGATATTGTGGCAAGCTACACTGCAGAACATTACAAGCAGATTAAGCGTAATATTTGTGAGAATCGTGCTTTGATTTGGCAAACATAAGGCAGCATATGGCGCTAATTGCACCAGTGAAAAAAAAAGATATGCTCTCGCAAAATCGTTATGAAAACTTTCATTTATAAATTTAATCATTTTCCGTCAAATATCTTTTCCCACGAAATTTCACCTTTCGGCATTGAATAAAATGCCTAAGCGGCTGCTTTTCCAAATGAATTCATTTATACATATATACACTTATATAAATACATACATACAAATAAATATTATATATAATTGCATATCCCGTTTGTTGCCAGTCACATTCAGTCGTTGTAATTATTTCCATCGCTACCGTTATGTTGACCGCTAGCAAAGCAGTGATAGCGTCAACGGCATTATATTGCCAACAAGCAAGGCTGGCAGACAGGCGCTGATGCTCGCTACCGAGTTGATTGTGCCGTTCGAGGGCATCTTGCAACTGCAGGCGTCATTGGCTTGCCATCGACATGTTAGTCGGGCACTTGTTCGTTTTGATCGGACTGCAGCCAGGCCAAAACATGTTTGTTGGCGTAACGGTGCAGTTGGCGCATAAATACTTATTATTTTTTTATTCCTCTCCGCAAGCGAGTGAAACTACTCACTTCAATGCGTAGTTGTATTTATTTCAACTTGCCCAACAAGTTTGACAATTAACGGTCACTTGCCGGATACGTTGTAATCGATGCGTGACAGCTGCGACAAATGCTATTTGATATTGAAATTAGTTGAGACAGGACAACTAATAATTTGAACGAATTGATGGGTTTTAAATGCGAATTTAAATATTTGCATTAATGTTATTTGATAAATCGTTGTAAAACACGAATAGTTGCAAGCGAAAAGGTTCGAGTCTTGCCCATTGGTTGTAAGTTTTAAGTCGAAAATTTTTATAAAAGAAGCAAACTAATAACTGAAGAGGTTTGAGTCAACAGCTGGTAAATGCGCAGGGTTGCCACTTATTTAATTTTAATGAAAGTCAGAAAGTTAAATTTGCTGACCAATTTTTTTGAATAAAATAATTTATTTTTG